ATAGTTTACGAAGGGTAAGAACAAAGGTTAATGAGAATAATTTGAAGGGAAAGAAATACCCGAAATTGTTTAGCTAAGCTATAGCATATTAGTGATTCACGACGTGTAAAGTATTGACAAATAAATGCTGCAACATCAATTAATGAATCTCGAGTTCGATTCTGTTCATATATTGATCTATAAATTAATAGAATTAATTTGAGGTAACGAAATTTTCAATTAAATCAATTAAATTTTTTTTTTCTATAATTTATATTTTATTATCCAATGTCTTAATACTACATTTTTGTTTTAAAATTACTTTACCATACAAATCGATTAATGTTATATTTTTGAAAAATTATTTGCATTACATTTATTTTTTCTCAAATTCTTATCATTTATTTATTTAATCAGTCGTTTTCCTTTTCTTTTTTAATGCAAACAAAATTTTTGCTATTAAAAGTTAATCGTATATTATTCATCTAAAAAAAAAAAAAAAAAAAAAACTTTTTTCGATAAGTGAAATTAATATTAAAAATATGAGATACCTGAAAAATATCACCGTCATTTTGCATGCCATACAAACTGCACTATCTGTATTTAATGTACTTCCATCATCTTTCATAGCTTAAAAATATTCAACTATTTTTTTTTTTTTTTTTTTGTTTTTTTTTAAATGAATGTATCAATTAAAATTCATACAATATAACATTACAAAATTTCATATTTTATTTAGTATTATTTAAATTATTGGTACAGTTTCAAGCAACACTAGAATTAGAACTTTTATATATTATTTTAGAAATATATGAGAAGTAAAAAGCTAATGAGAAAATTTTAATTTTTCAAAAGATTAGAATTTTTTGCATAAACCGAAACATATGTAAAATTGAAATATTAAACTTATTTTGTTCAAAAATTTTGGTAACAACAGTTTTTTAATTGTAAACTTTTTTTTTTTTTAAATTTATAAAAAAAAATTTATATAAAAATAAACTTATATAAAAATTTAAATTTATATAAAAATAAAACTAACCGGAAATGTCATTTGCTAATAACGGATTGCCAGAATTGACAAGCAAAACAATAAGGATGACACAGAAAAGAATGAAACAATTAGCGGTTTGCATTATTAACATTTTTGGATAATTTAAAATTATCCACAAAAAACTGAAAATAAATATTGAACATTTATGTAACACTGAAAAAATTTAATTTATATTAAATGCAAAATTTTAAGGAAGAAAAAAAAAAGCATTAAAACTGTGCACATATATTTGATACACTGTAGATACATTATCAAATATACAAAATATATTATTAACATTGCTGAACATATCATTTGCTAAACAAACAGGTAGAAAAAATAAATTACTATACTAAACAAATAATTAAAAATAAATCGTATTATATTTTTGTATAAATTATTTAAATGATTGAAATTATTAGATGAATGTTTACTTCTTGAATAATATTAAACTTTTATGATTAAACAATTAAATTCTTAGTTTTATCTTTTATTTTAAATGATTAAAATGAATGCTAATAAAAAAGATCAATTTATGTGATTTCTATCAGTAAAACACAAAATACAAAAATAAAACAAAATGGAATTATCCGTTAAAAAAAAAAAAAATAATTCATTGTATATAAATGTTTTTAGTTCCCTCCTTTCTCACATTGCTAATGCTAACAATATTACAGCAACAAATGTTTGAAGCATCGTTTAATCTTATCATTAATCGACTGACGACCAATCGATGGACAAAGAGATGGGATAAATAGATTAATGTAAACTTAATACTTAACAGTTGTTAGTCATTCCATTCTTTTCATTTATCAATTCATCCCTATCTTTTGTTCAAACATATAATCTTACTTTAACATTAATAATTTAAGAAAGTTAAAAAAAACAAAACAAACTAATTAAAATGATTCAATAAAATTAAGCATAAATTTAAATTTAATATCATCAACAAAAAAAAAAAGAAAAGAAAAAAGACGTATAAATAATTAAAATATGAAATTTAAGCATATATGATAAAATATTATATGCAACAAATATACTTTAAGGAAAATAATATGTGTGGAAATAAAAAATGAACGTGTGTTACGTGTAAAACGTGTAATATGTTTAAAAAAGTGTTAAAAAAAATTTTCAAAAAAGACTTGATTTCATAGATTTTTCAATTAATAAATTCAATTATTTGAGTTAAATTTTTATTTAATTAAATTTATTTTGTTATCATAAAATTGATAGACGCATTTAGCATACATTTTTAAATAAAAAAACATTGCGGAGTGAGCAGGGCCTTCTTAGCTCAGTTGGTAGAGCATCAGACTTTTAATCTGAGGGTCGTGGGTTCGAGTCCCACAGAGGGCGCGAGGAGTTTTTGTGACTTTTAGTAATAATAAATAGCTCATTTATAATTTAAGATTTCTACGACTAATGCTGATCACACTTTTGCCATTTTCCTATTATTACCGTAGTTATTTTATGATAATACATAGCTATTATTATCACTTCCATTATTTTTTTATCAGTAATAGAAATATAAATAATGAAATCATTATCAATATTTCTATTATTTCATTATCAATATTTCTACTATTATTATTATTAGTATTTTCATTTGTTATCTTCTCATCATATTATTCAGTTTTTTGGATTTGCATTTAGCAATGGAACGAAAATAGGAAAACTGATTTAAATGATAATATGCGCTAAAATCAATAATAATTTGATAAGTGATCAAAATGATAAAATATAAGCATTCAGTAAAACAAACAATTTGAATTATAAAATATTTAAATGCTAAATTAACGACTACAATAACTACTAAATATATTAATGATTACAATATACCAAATTAATGAAATTGGGATAAATTAATTGTTGGATATATTTGATAGAGCAAATTTTTTTATTACAATTCATTTTATGTTTATAGAATATTTGTTAAGAATTTTCTCTTCATTAAAATATTTCAAACTTTTGCAGTAAAAAAGAAGTTTGCAAGTCAATTAAATATGGAAGTTTAAAATTTCAACAATTTTTCTTCTTGATCTTTTTTCACTTTTTTTTTTTAAAACTTCGTTCTTTTCGTTTTTTTTTTTTTGAAACCAATCTTTTCACGTCATTAATTTTTGCAATTTTTTCTGTTTCACAAAAAAAAAAAAAAATTGAAGGCTTAAATTTGTTCAGATTATTTACCAAGACAATTAAGACGAATGAATTCAGCTCACTTCAATTTGATAATACAAAGAAATGTACACATAACAAATAGTCATGAATCATCGGTTCAATTTTGCTTTACAATGACATTATTTTTTCATAAATTTTATTTCTTTTCTAATAATTACTTAAATTATTAATAGTTTATTAAGTAGTAATTTATGAAATAATTAATTGACACAATAAATGGATGAGCAATATTAAAACTTCTTCATTAGTCTTCTGGAAAATTTTTTGGATAAATAATTGTATTGTCATCTCTTTTCAAATATCTAAATGCTGCACCGAATGAATTCAAATCAGGAAATTCAGAATTTTAGTTCAGGGCAAATTGCTGTTCAAGATCCTGTTATAGATTCCGATTAATGATTGCAATGACCCCGTACATCGATTGTAATTATTTTTTGTTTATATACTTCTAAAAATTAGCTCAAAATTGTTAGTCACTAATTAAAATGATTTTGAAAATTATTTAGTTAATAATAAATAATATTTACATAAGTATGTTAATAACTTTTATCCAAAACTATTTGCAACAAATACACAATTTTTCACCATTTCCTTTTTTTAAATTTCAATATTTCAGTATGTATTGTGTGTCGTTGCAAAATTGAAGTACTTTTTATCATTATCATTATCATTATCATTATCATTATCGTTATTAACAGCATTATCAACAACATCAATGCTATCAAATTGTAATATCATTAAATTATCGACCAATGATTTTTTTTCAGTTTTCTCACTCCCCTTTTTCCCTCTTCTTTTTTCCCTCCTTCTCTCTTTCTTTCTTTTCTTCTATCCTTTTACCCTGCTTTTCCTAACAGTTTCAAGAGATCCTCTAGAAAGAAAGAGAGAGGGAGAGACAGAGAGACAGAGACAGAGAGGTAGGTTCTCAATTTTATCATCATTCTTCCATCTTCAACTTTTTGAAAATGGTGACTATCCGACGGGGTCATGACATGCTTACAGCTTTTGCAACAGCACTTCTATCCATCCATCTTTTAATTATTACTTTATCAACTGTTACTGCTACTCAACAGAATCACTTCACAAGGTTATAATAATTTTATTATTTGAAAAATTATAAAAATTGAGAATTTTTATTTTTATTTATCATAATAATTTGCCGTTTTTTTTTGTTATTTAATTTGATAAAATATTTTATTTTTTTTTATTTCTTTAAAGAAGATTTTTTGCCAAATTTGTTAAAAATTTCAATCAGTTTTTTCTCTTTTTTTCCAAAAAAAAAAAAAAACTATATTTTTATGTTAATGAAATTTTTAAAACATTTTATTATACATTAATTATAAGTTTATCCTAGCTTATCATAATAACAACTTTGCAGCAATATCGTAAGTTACACTATAACTTGTCTGTCAAATACTTATAATAAATGATTTCATCAAGAATTGCTGAAAAAATTGTTAAACGTATCCTTAAAGAAGTCAGAAATAAACAAAAAAAAAAAAAAAAAGGTTTAAAGAAAAAAGTGACCAAAAATTTTGGAACTTGAACGAATTACAAATTATATTCTTTATTCATCCTATCATAAACAATATTCCGTTTTTCAAGTTCATGTTCTTTTCTCTCTAAAATTTTATTTAATTTTTAATTTCCTAAATTTTTTCCTCTTTGTTTAAAAATACATTGAAAATTTTCATTATTATGAATTTATCTTGTTTAAATTATATGTCCTGTTAAAAAAAAAAAAAGAAAAATGTTATCGGGATGTATTTCAGGATAATGTTATCGGGATGTATTTCAGGATAATGTTATCGGGATGTATTTCAGGATACCATTACGCAAGCAGAATTCACTTCGTAAACATCTGATAGAAACAGATTCATGGGAAGCATACAGCAAATTAATTAATTTCCAAATTCAACGAAAAAAAATTCAGCAAAAAATGGGATTAAATTTGCATTTCACTTCAGAGCCAAATGCAATAAGTGAGACTGATGAAGTGCTAAAAAATTATATGGATGTAGGTGTTATTAATATAAAGTTTTACATCTAACAATAATTTAACTTTATTTCTTATGAATTTTCTTTTTTTTTTTCTTTTTGAGCAAAGAAAATACATATTGTGAATATTGTATGATTATATTAGCAATTTTTATAAAAGCATCTCAAATTTTAATCCAAATTTAAATCTTTTAAAAGTATAATTAGAACTTTTAAATGTAATGTTAGCAAATGAGTAGTTAATAAAAAAACTTATTAACTGATTTTCATTAATTTTTGACTAGAATAAAGCTAATTTTATAGGCTCAATATTATGGTGAAATTTCAATTGGTACACCACCTCAAAATTTTAGCGTTGTTTTTGATACTGGTTCATCAAATCTTTGGGTACCATCCGTAAAATGTCCCTTTTTAGATATTGCATGTTGTAAGTTTGATTATTATTATTATTATACAAAACATAAATTACTTAATAAAATTGCAAAAAAATCAAAAAATTTTATTTTGATTAATTATTTTGGTTAATTATATTTAAAGATAACACTTAATTAATAATATCCTAATTTTGTCTTAGTTTAAAATGATTATTCGCATTATAATATTTTGAATTTTGTATGTTAGACTGACTGATTAGAAAAGAAGGACAAAAACAGCTTAGCCGTTTTTTTTTTTTTTTTTACAGTATTCCATAATAAATACAAAGGAACAAAATCAACAACTTATAAGCCGGATGGTAGAAAAATACAAATTCAGTACGGAACAGGTTCAATGGAAGGATTCATTTCATTGGATACCGTTTGTGTGCGTATATGTAAAATAATTTATACAAAAATTTTAATCATTTTTTTTATATCGAATTTTAATTGTTATTCATTTAATTTATAATATTTTATTTTTTTTTCCTTGTTTTTAGAAATATTTTTACAAACACAAATACGCACTTTTAATCCTTTATTGCATTATACATTTTTCAATTTATTTTAATTAAAGGAAGAAAAAAAAGAAACGATATTTTAGATTGCTAATATTTGTGTTACGGGACAACCATTTGCTGAAGCAACCTCAGAACCTGGTGCAACATTTGTTATGGCTAAGTTTGATGGTATTTTGGGTATGGCATTTCCGGAAATTTCGGTTCTTGGATTAAATCCAGTTTTTCATACAATGATTAGCCAGAAAGTTGTCCATCAACCAGTGTTTGCTTTCTGGCTTGATAGGTTGTTTGGATTTTTTTTTTTGCAAGTTTTTTTTTTAGAAATTTTATGAAAATTTTAGAAAAATTTTGATATTATTCAGATTTTAGAAAAATTTGGATACTTTTTTTTCTCTCTTTCTATATTTTACTGCATTGAAAAAAGAAACTTTTTGCTTATTTTTCGCATTATACTTTATGATTATTATTCCTACTTGTTATTCTTCTTGTTGTTGTCTTTGTTTTGTTACAATTACAATTGTTATTTGTTTTAGTTGTTGCTAATTATTATTTCTACTTTTTATTGTTGTTATTGTTTACTATTGCTTTTTTGTTGTTTCCTGTTATTCTTTGTTTACTATTATTTATTGTTATCGTTGTTTTCATTCATAGTTATTGCTACTATTAATACTAAATATTTGTTGCAGAAATCCAAGTGATAAAATTGGTGGTGAAATTACATTGGGCGGCATTGATGCAAATAGATTTGTATCACCGATCACATACACTCCCGTGTCAAGACATGGGTACTGGCAATTTAAAATGGATAGAGTGCTGGGCAGAGGTAAAGCAATTGGTTGTGGTAATGGTTGTCAGGTTTGTTTGATACTTAAATTTTCATTTGCTTTTTGTTGTCAACAAGATTATAAATTATTTATTAACTACCAGTTATTAAGTCTACAGGGAATATTAGAAAAATTAGTTATATTTTCAATATTTCAAAAAATTAGTTCCATGAAATGGAAAAAAAAAAAAGGATAGAGTTACTAGTCATTTTAATGTTATTGTATTGGAATTATCAACGCATTTAAATTTAGATAACATAATAATCATTTTCTGATACAATTCTCTGCAAAAGTATCACAGTTTTCAGGCATAAATATATCCACAAATTACTTAAACTATAAAGTAATGAATTATGATAAACTAATTATTTGCATACATTATTTTACTCATAGAATAAAAGGAAGCTTAAAAGGATATCAAAAAAATGCTAATTTCAGGCTATAGCAGATACAGGAACAAGCTTAATTGCTGGTCCAAAGAGTCAGATCGATAAAATTCAGGAATATATTGGCGCAGAGCATGTCTATGCTGGTGAATATATCATACCATGCTATAAAGTGCCATCTTTACCTGAAATTACATTTGTTATTGCTGGTAAAAGTTATACTTTAAAAGGATCGGATTATGTTTTAAATGTAAGTTTAACATTTTCTCAATCAATAGTTGTATAAAATGAACGATTAAAAAGTGTATGAAACAAAATTCAAACTTTTATGCTAAAAACTTTGAGTTAAAATTGAAATTAGCTTAAATTTTATGATTTATTAAATTTTTATCGTCAAATGGATATTTAAAGCATTTTTAGGTAACATCAAAGGGTGCAACAATCTGCCTTTCTGGTTTTATGGGTATCGATTTGCCGAAACGAGCAGGAGAATTGTGGATTCTTGGTGATGTATTCATCGGTCGTTACTATACGGTATTCGATGTAGGAAATTCTCAGATAGGCTTTGCCCAAGCTCGTGATAGTGCGGGTAAGCCAATTGGTAAACGAGTGCGTACGATTGTATCGGAGGAAGAACAACAAATATCTCATGAATCATTAATATCAACTTTTAATGATTGATTGAAATTCATTACAAATTTAATTGATGTTTAATAATCTTTTCGTATTTCAATTATATTATTCCTGATAAATTAAACTATATTTTGATTAAAATTTACTAAAAGAAAGAACAATTCAAATGGTAATAATAAAATAATTATCCTTAATTAGATATGTAAAACAAAAATTAAAAGTGAGAAAATGATCAGTTCGTATTTGCTAAGTATCAAAATTATTATTAAATCATTTATTCGCTTGACAATTTTTTTTTTTAATGTAAAAAAAGGATAAAAATTTTTACTGTTTACTGACAATGAATGATATCTTATCTTATCAATGTTTAAAAATTATTCAACATATTCTGTGAATAAATATCAATTATTATGCTTTTGTATTCCTTTTTTTTTTTTTTGCATTAAAAATGTTCATGTTATCAGTAACTGATAAGGTAAGAACTGCACAATTAACTGTTAATAAATTAATTTTTTGACTTATCATTTATTTAAACACTCTTTCTTAAATAATTTGTAAAGTTATGACTTTTTTTTTATACAAAGGAATAAAATAAAAAAAAAAATTATTTTTGCAAAATAGCCAGAAATAAACTATGAAGAAGCAATTTCAGACATAAATTAATTGGCATTTGAAATATGCAACTATAAGTAAGTAAAGAAAACATTGCCCACTAAACAATGAATGCAAAAATGAATTATTATCAGACTATCAACGAAATGCACACCTAATCATAATACTTAAATATTGTAATTAGTCGTTTCATTATCATTAAGGATTGTCATCTAATTAGTCAATCATTTTTAAATAAGATATAACACCAGAAATTACTTTCTAATAAGTTTTCGAAGTTTTTTTTTTTTTGAACTTTTTACGAATTTTTTTTTTTTATAAATTTGTTAATAAAATATTGTTTGAAATTTTCAGCATAAATTTAAAGAACGAAATGCTTTATTTTCTAACTGAAAAAAAAAGCAAAAGTACTCTTATTAGTTCTCCAATTAATTCAATTAACACTCATTTCTATGAAAAAACATAACAGTGAGTTTGTTGTTTATTATTATACGGAATTTTTTTTTTTTAGCTAAATATCTTTTAATACTTTCGTCGCTTAAATAATACAAATATAAATACATAAATGTATATTTAAATGTAAATGTAAATATGAATATAAATATAAATGTAGGTGAATAAATAAATCAATAAATAAAGTTTTTTGTTTTTTTTTTTTTTGTTGTTAATAATACCAAAATCCAAAAAACCTAAAGCACAAAAATTTTAATTAATCATCGAGTATTACTTTACCACTTAGAAAAATTACATAATCATCTTATCATTAATATTTTTGCTTAATTAACGATTACAGCAAATGCAATAACTGAAAATATTATGAGAGATAGAGACGAATGTTTAGGAAATTAAATATTTAGGAAAAATTAAAAATCTATTAAAGCCTTGTGGGAATTGCGTTACCTTCAATGTATTTTTACTATTTTTTCCAATCATTTTTGTCAAAATAAAATAAAAATTCAACAAAAGAAACACTGAAAAAAAAAAAAGAAAAAATTTAGATTCCTAAATGATATGGAAATTATAATAAATTTTATTGTACCATTAAAATTTCTTTGCATATCTAAAAAAATTTTTAAAAAAAAATAAAAAAATAGAAGTGTTATATGTGCATGAATGAATGAATGTTGACAAATTGCAAGAAATTATGCGACACATATTGCTATAACAATAAATAATGTCATAGCATAGACAATAAAAGAAGAAAATATTAATGAAAAGAAAATAGTAATAAAAACAAAAGCATATGAAAAAGAAATATGGGAAAAAAAAAAGGAATGGAAATAAAAATGAATTGATTGATATAAAGAGATTTTTTTTTTTTTGCATATATTTAAGTTTCAACTTTTCAGAAATTTTTATTTTGAATTATTTTGTTATTTTTGTTGTAAATTTTTACAATATTAAAAAATAAAACAAAATAAATTGATGGAAATGTTTCATTGTTAATTTCATGCATATATCATTTGGAAATGTTATGGTTCATTTCAATTTTTTGTATAATTTGCTTGATAGTGCATAAAGGAATCAATCATGAAATATGGAAATTCATTAATCATAATCGTTAGTAATTTTCTTATAATTTTTGGTATGAAATATTTGCCTCATCTAATGAAATAAATTTTTAATTAAATTTGAATTTATTTACGAAATTAAAAATTTCCATACTTATTTAATACAACCAAGAAATTTATACATATTTGTAATTTATTTGTTTATTTGACTGATTGGGTTAAAATTCAAAAAAAAAAAAAAATACTAAACTTTGTGAACAAATCATTTGGTAAATTTCAGATAATCGATGCGAAGGCAATTTCACATTATATGATAATAGTTACAGACTTTGTTACACAGTGTTAGAATTATCACAGGTATATCATAGGTCATTTATTTGTCCACTTCCTCTTTGTTGTATGAAATAGATTATATCATAGTTCATAAAAGATAAATAAAAATCATAAATGATCAAAAAATCTTAGAATATTTCAAAGTTTTTTTTTTTTTCCTTTTTTTTTTAATTCATTAAATCAATATTTGATTCGATGAAAAGATTGTAATTGATTGATTAACTTAGTAATCTAATTAGATAATACATACTACTTGTCAAATATATTTATAACATATCGTAGATTTCAAATTGGACAAATGATCGATGTTTAGCTATGGATAAAACAAATCATTTCATTCATGAAACAAAAATTCTTGATCAGAGACAATTTTACAGCATTTTTAATACTTTACAAAAAGGTTTCTAATATACAAAGATATTTTGCAAAATGTTTTTCAAATTTTAATATTTAAAAAAAGAAAAAATAAAATATTTTAATTTCGTTTTATGTTTTCTGTTTATCTCTCCCTGTCCGTCTATCTCTTTGTATAAGTTATTGCTGGTAATTTTTAAACTTAATATATTTTACATCAATTAATTTTCTTTACAAAAAATAGTATCCAATATCGTAGTATTTTTACATTATAAATTTGTGAATTCATTTCTTAGCAAATAATTTAAAATTACCTTACATGATATAACTAAGTATTATCTTATTTAAATCATCTTTTCTAGTTAATTTCGGAAAATTTGTTAATCTGTATTATTTTTGTATATCTTAGAATATCTCAAAAGCACTTTATTTATTGAAGTAATTACAATTTTTATTATCTCAGATCATTTCAATTAAATAATTACTAGTAAAGCAATTAATAACAGTTAAAATCAAAAAGACTATGAACAATAATTTTTATGTTAAAATGAAAAAAAATTCAATAAAAGAACAGTTTTTTTTGCAGAAAAACCTGCCTTCTCAAATGGTTCGATGGAAGTTCTAATTAGTATAACATATTGCCGTGGCGATGGCTTTCGTTGGAGAGATGATACCGTACCATATGATTTGAGTTTTTTGAAATTTAATCCAATCGATAATTTAAATGATGATGATAATCTGATTGAAAATTACTGCTTTCATTTTTCAATTATTGTTGGTAAGTGAATAAGATATAAAACAAATAATTTATTAAACAATATAATATCATTTTATCCTTTATGATTAACAAATTTTTTCATTTCTGATTTTTCTTTAAACATTTATAATTACACTATAAATATATTTCAGAAGTAAAAGAGACATCGAACAAAGATGAAATTTTGCTGACAATGCTATGAAATTGGATTTAAACAAAAACAAAATGATATAAAATTCAACAATTTTAGATAAAAATTCGAAAGATGGTTATGGAACAAAATGGTATAAATGTGATGAAATGAATTCGATTAATTACACCAAAAAATCATTTTATTTACTTTGCTCATATAGTAAAGTAAGAAATTTGCTATTATTGTATATTTAACAGATCGATCAGGTATATTCTGACATAACTAAAAAGGTAAAATATTAAATCAAGAAAGCTGAAAATCCGGAAAAATAATTGCCCGGAATATCGATTATTACTAATAAGATAAAACATTGCAACGAGAAATCTAAAAGTTGGAAAAAAATAATTACTTGTGAAAGAGAAAATTACAACTAATAATTGCATGTGACGAGTAATTGTATAAGCCAAATAAAAAAAACTTTATGAACTTAGAAGATGAATTTAGTAGACATGATAATGTAATTATTTCTTTTATTAAAGAATTTTGACCATTTGTTATAATATTTCAGGATAATGTAATTCAGAAAATCATTCAAAGACGTATATTTCTTTTTCTGATTTTTTTATTTCATTTTTAATTTCAATTTTATTTATAATGAAATTTATTAGCTAACTTTAGTCTTTAAAGTGAAATGATGTATTTTCAGCATTTCAAATTATAGCTAAGCAAAAAGAATGTCTAAGGACTGAAATACCGGTTAAAATCAATAATATGTATTTGTGTTATGTACATGTCATCAAAACTTACTTGGTAATATTAATTTTGATATAAATATAAATAATTATTTACCAATTTAAATTGATATGTGTAAAAGAAAAAAGCAGGAAAAAATTAAATTTTTTGCAGATACAATTTAAAGACAAAAAAAGTATTTTGGTTCATAATTAAGGAAGAAATTTGTTTAATCTTTAATTAATTAAAAAACAGCTAAGCGATGAATTATTTAATTATTAAACTTTGTATTCAATAAATCTAAAAACATTAGTTCGTGCTTGAGTATGATTGAATTATTCCATTCTAATTCTTCAAAATTCATTTAATAATTCACACTTCCTTTTCCTTGTTTTCCTTTTTTTTTGTTTTTGTTTTATTAAATTTGAATTTGAGATGAACAATATAACAAATGCTGACACTGACTTATGTCATGAATATTCAAATGAATATGGACGTGAAACGGAACATTGGAATTCTCTTTCACCAGCTGCTATACCGAACAAAAATTTGCTACGATTGTTGCATAAAGAAATTTTATCCGGTTAATCTGTTCAATTATAATCATAACTTTATAATTTTTTTTTAAAAAAAAGTGATTTCAGTGTGATAGTACTGATAAGTTGAAAAAAAAAAGAAAAAAAAAACATTTTATCACCCATTTTTTTCGGATAAGCGAAATGAAATTTATTTGAACTATAATACACCATTCCTGTTCCTGTTAGTTCTAATAATTGAAATACAGTCAAACATATTACTGCTGTTAGCTCTGATAAATGGAAAATAATCAGAAACATCTTTTATTAATTCCAACAAATTCCGGTTAGATTATACATTGAAATATTGTTTGATATTTGATATACTTTCAAAGTATTCATAATCGTTAGAGATTTAAATGAAATATCGATTATTTTGAAAAACATAAGATAAAAAAAATTAAATAAAAAGTCAATACCTCAACTAAATCTTACATTTTTTATGCAAATAAACAGTAATTTATTCGAGCAAACAAAATCTTTCGTTTGATAAGCTAAAACGATCATTTCATACAAATGCATTGAAAACTTTTATTTATCTTTTTTTAACTTTGAAATTGCTCAAAAAAATTTTTCCTATTTTCTACTCATTTATATTTTGTATTATGAAAGTAAGCAAAATAAAAAACAAAAATTAAAACTTAAGAAATTTAAAGTAATGGTATAATCATTCTGTTAATAAACTATTTTTGAAATTTCAGTTCATCGTCAATTTGATAAGAGAAATCATGGACTTATGATTGGCTTAATTTACATGCACAACCAATATCATTGGATGGATGGTATTTCAATTATACATCCATCATTGGAAAGTTTAATTGCTGGGATAGCTGCTGCTGATAACGAATGCTATCGTTTTATGCTTTTTCAATGTAAACAAAATTTTTAAATTTCATTTTATAAATATTTATTTCAATGGCATTAATCAAAGGTTTATTTGCATAATTTTGCTTATTGTTTATTTACGATCAGTTATTACTATAGTATTCAGTTCAGAAATCTTTTCATTAGTTCGCATATTTTAGTTTTTAAAATCTTAAAAAAAAAAAAAAAATGAAGTGAAATTGAAGAGGAAGAATAAAACGAGATAAAACGGATAATATGATAAAATTTATCTTATCACTGAGTAGTAATACACTTGCTAACATATCATCAAATGATAATGGTAAACAACACATTGTTATGGTAAAACAAAATGAGATGTATAAAGAAAATAAGGAATAAATGATTTTATTAAAGCACAAAATAGTATTTTAATAAACATATTTATAGCTGTTCCTGATTATATGGTACCAGTACCATGCAATAATAACGTTATCACTTATGATATACTTTGTAAATATGTTGGTATTTCTTGTTTTTCCTTTAAAAATCAAATTACTTCCATTTATTTTTTATCGTTACTTTTTTCTGTCAACAAATAACTGATCAGCTGCATTCGGATTAATTAATTAATTGATCAAATAAATCGAAATTGGATTAATTAATTAATTAATTGGTTAGAGAAAAAATTGGCGAAAGTTTTTTGATCATACACTGCTAAATTTATGAATGCATAACATGACATATATTTTTGATAAATCTTAATATATTTTGTTATAATGTTTTATTTTGCTTTTTAAACCTAACTGTTTGAAAATTTCAAGTACATAATGATATGTATCTTTTAATTATTTAGCAAAATTATTCAATCAATCTTTAGACGTTTAGTAATTAAACACAATTTTACAATCATGAATGTATGTCAAAAAAGAAAAAGGGAAAAAGTTTAATTATTTAATTAAACATGAAGTAACATATTTTATTTTAGTTAACATGAAATTATTTAATTAATGACCAGAAATTCCATCTATAAATTTTCAGAAATGAAACCTTCTCATGGATACATTTCAGGGATATTTCCTTTCATCTCTATTTTCGCATAAATAATAATTACAGATTCTTGACAAACAACCTGACCATATAGGTAAAAATGAACTGATAGAAGAAATCAAAATATTGATTGATCACGAACCAGAAAATAATGTTATTGGTATGTGCACTCTTGATCAATTTCTGGAAGATTGTAAATGTAAAAAATAAAATTAAACTAACGAAAAAAAAGTGTATGAGTATTATTTAAATAAATATATAAATGTTTTCTTGAAAATATTAGTTAAAGCTAAGTCTCATTTCTTTTTTAAATGAAAATAAACATTTTGATATGCTTTATTAAGACAAATTGACATTAACACATACAAAAAAAAAATTAACTAATGGTTAAATCATTGAAGTACTTTTTTTAATATAATATTTTAGATTTCTCTAATTAATTTTCTAATTTTTTTTTTTTTTAGAAAATGGTGCTAAAAGAGTTCAATTTGATCAATTAATAATGATATTTTTTACATTAATCATTATTGATGTTAGTTACATTCGTGAACTTATACAAAGTGAAAACTTTATATCAATTAGAATCTTATGATTAAAATGTTTACTTGGATAAAGTTTAAAGCAATTGTGTTTTTGTTAACAAAAATATCTTTTGTCACAATATTTGCTCTATTTTTTAAAGTAATTTTATATCTACCACATCATAATATATGGATTGGCATTTGCATATTTGTTAATGCTTCTTATTAATTATCGTATAAATGAGAAATAACATTAGAAATAATAACAGAACTTTTTGAATTCTTCCATTTTGATAGTCAAATTTTTCACTCACACAAGTTTACAAGAACTCTTTCATATTGGTTTTTCCATAATTGATCTTTTAACTATTTTAATTTACTAAATCTATAATTTCTTGATGACTTGATACCATTTGCGGCGATTGTTTGATGATATGTAACATTTAATCATTATCATAATAGCAAACAATAAAGTATTATTGCAACCATGCAGGTAATAATTAAATAATGAAAATACTCAATTGTAACATTGCAGGAAATTTTTCAAACAAATATTCATAGGTTGGATTTTTCAGTTCATTTTTCCTACTAATGACTAGTTAAATTTGAATTTAAATTCATTCATCATTACTGTTATTTGCTTCTGCTTAACTCATCCACTTGTTTCTTTAGACCATCCAATTACTATTTTAATCCAATTTTACAACAATCCTAATCATTTGACAATTTAGCAATGACGCATACGGTTGTCTTTATCACCTGTCTTACATTAATACTTTCTGCAACGCATTGTTTAGAAAGTTCATTTTTTTTTCATGAAATGTTTATTTCTTTATTTTTTTTTTTTTTTTGTCTTTCTGAAAGCTTATGCCAACATATCATGCATGAATGAAAACAATACTTTATCATATCAATGATATCAGTCGATCTTTTATCAAATCTAGTATGCTATTTCAGAAATATCCATTAACTTTTTACACATTCAACGATAAATTTCGAAGAAAGTTGTGTTTGATAAACATTCCTTAAATGATTTTTTTTTTTTGATGATAAAACTCATAAAAACATGTTTAATTTAATAATAACAGGAAAAAAAAAACTATATTTCAGTATATAATTTCAGGACAGGACTGTGAGCGTCATTATCAATTGAAACAAATTGGCGCATATACTTACTGTTACAGAATGCATGTGAT